CTCGCCGCTACGATTTAGCGCCATGATTTTGGTATCGCCTAAAACCGTAACGTTGTGCATCTCCCTACTCATCGCTGTTGTGCATCTCTATACTCATCTCTGTCAAAACTTCCTTTATTTGTCTCCACTGTCATTCTATTAGCATTTGACACTTCGAAAGAAAACATATTTAAGATTATTGATTATGGACGATGAAATTCCTAATAGTTTACTCTCTCAGGAAGCTACGCAGGAACAGAATTTAAACTATGAACAACAATATCGAATATCAGGTGTAGCCTTAGGTGAAATATCCGTAGTCACCGAACAACAGGTAAAAGCGAACGCGGTGGATGTCCCGGAAACAATACAAGATGAAGACACGATAAAAGAGACGTTAAGAAAGAGTGCAGAGATGTTGGTAAAAAATCTGGAAAAAATGTCCCTGATGGAACTTAGAAAAAAAACGGTAACTCGTCACAGGATAAAAAAAGACAACATTTTTATAAAGCATACCTAATGAAATATCGCAGCAAGAAGACATCAATGTAGCAATAAAATCTACGAAAAAGGTTAGTTTAGCCGTAGAAGAACCGATTCAGATAGAAGCACCGTTGAAGGGTGAAGATTTGATAAGAGGAAAGCAACGTGGTAGTATAGTGACAGGTCGCAGTAGTATTTTTACCTTTTCACATATAACCGATACAACTCATAATTCAGGAATAGAATCTCCAGAAAAAGTAATTAGTTGAATGAACACATTTTTCAGATGGCTAATTAATTCTTTATGTAGGTACGAGGTTCGGGAGTTGGTATAAATTCGTACCGTAAAATAGTCTCAAAGATGTTAAGCACTGGTCAGTCTGGCAACATCGGTGTTCAAAGTATGTCCTTTTGTACTCCGAGTTCAAATCCTCTTCCTAGATTTGAAGCCAACGCAGTAGTCTGCGTCCTACAGGAATGCCTGGACTATTTATCTTTATTGAAATACGTCATCCCGGCGGAAGTGGATCCACGCTGGAATGAAAATTACAAAACTATTAAGGAATTGTATGGAGGTCCTGGTGAACTTAAGATTATCTTCAGGGCAGACTTAGGTCTGTTACCGTTGATACCTTCTGTAGCAGAGAAACTGCAACGTGATAGGTTTGTATATTAAAAATTTGAAATATGCATATTATGATATTATTGTATAATTATTAATTAGGTATTACGCTTATTGTGTTGTTTCTGATACCACTGAAGAATTAATGAAAAATGGAACGTATAACTCTCTGCAGAATACTGTGGACGAATGTGTTAGAACTGAGGAAGGTGAACATATACTTCAAGTCAATTGTCAGATATGGGCTGAGCAGGTAAAACAGCTGTACGACTTGATTTGCTTGAAGAATATTGAAAATCAAGAAAATTTTGCAAAATGTGCTGAAGCTGCTGTAAAATTGAATGCGGAGGTGGACAATACAATATTTTTAAATGGCTCTAAGTTAGGTGAGAATCGCTGAACTGGATAGAAATTCAATATAAATTTTTTATATTTTGCTTCAGCCTACCTGGAACGATGGGAAGCTGCAAGGTTAGAACTGCATTACTGTCGCATGAAAATGAAAGAGCAGGAATTGGATAACAAGTTGACTGAATGTGCACTTATGGAAAGGATGGACGCAATTGTTGCTGGTGAAGTCTGTACGTACCTGCAAGCCAGTATGAAAGATATGGAGGATGAAATAATGGTCTGGACTAGCCAATACAATGAGGAAATCGAGCGTCGCGAGCAGGAAATCAATGAATTTAAAGTATAAAATTATTTTCTTAATCATTCGACTCGAGTAAAATAAAAAATAGCTCAATATTGTTCTATGTTTTTAGGAACAGATATCAGAACAAAAAATGATTCTTGAGCAACTCTACTTCGTCAGGGATGAACGACAACAATTGATTGACGAATGTGAAGCAGAGACATTACGTGCGAAAGAGAAGGCAGAATACTGGAAAATCGTTCACAGATCAGCAACAATCATTCAGTCATTATGGAGAGGATACATAGTGAGGAATCAATTAGGTGCATTTAAAGGACTTTGGAATGTTCTTAGCAAAAGGAAAAAGCAGGCAGCTAGGGCACGTAAGAAACGCGCGGCTCAGCAAAGAAAGATTGCTGAAAATAAGGCAAAGACGAATTCAAAGAATCCGAAGAATCGCTGACGAAAGTGACGAGTGATTTTTTGAAATAAGTTATCTTGGCGGCCTGTATAAATTATTCAAATATATTTTTAAACAAACATCAGTGATACAATATGTACAAGAAATTCTGACTCACACTCATGCGAACACAACACGCGCACATCCTCTGCCTTAATTTCTATAAGGGTGGCATCGAGCTACCTTCACAGCGCCTTGAACGCCGAGTGTCGTCCCCATGGCCCCCGTGTATTTCGTCTAAGTCGCGCAACCACGAGCTAACAAATCATATACGACCGTAAGGGTCGATAATTACGAGCCAACTGTCAAACCATCGGCTTTCAACGTGTCTCCAAAATTTGGATGACGCGATATAATGGTGGGAGATGGTTTTTTTCCCGTGGTTGAGAGAAACGAAATGGAACGAGCGAATGACTTTGAAGCAAGTCGCGCGATTCATGCAGTCCAGTGCTACGATAATAGCGTCGCTAATAAAGACTTCGAAAAGGCGAGTTTTTAAAGCTCGTCCATCATTTTTGAAATTATTGGTGCTTTTAATCCGGAATTCTTTAAACAAAAAATGTTTATGAGGTTAATGATATACGAGGTCTGCGCTAAAGCGCCACTCGAATGGCATTCCGTAAAAGCGTGTTTCAATTAAAGAAATTCGATCTGTTCCCTTAATTTTTTGTTTTCTTCCACACATTGGCTAAATCACGGTCGACGCGTCGAAGTTCTCCAGGAACTTACGTGTAGCGTTTCGATATCCATTTCTATTTTTTTGTTATTTTTAATTGCCAATGGTGAAGAGTGACTACCGTGGAAGTAGAATCGAGGAACAAATTCGATTAGTAGATGATTGAAGTCAAAAATCGTAGACGCGTCACAGTGGGCGTCTCGACCACGGCGACGAGGGAAAATATTCGACTTCGCGCTAATGCGCTAGGAAATTATGTGAAAATAGCTAGTTGAAGTGAAATTTAAATTGGAAGGGTGAACCGTGGAAGTGATTGAACTCCTGGAAGGGATTAAAACCGTGTTGATGTTTCCCGGATTCAGGATCCAGAGGATCCTCACCCCGGTCGAATTTTGCTCTTTTCTCATCGTCCGTTAGTACTTCCTTTGCGGCGGCAATGTCAATAAACTTTTTCTGGGCATGTTTCTTCTCTTCCCCTTCTTGGAAGTTATCCGGGTGCCACTTCTGAGCAGCCTTCCTGTACGCTTTGGTAATGTCTTTCTTGGTAGCTGTTCTTGGGACTCCCAAGATCTTGTAATAATCTCTCGTTTCTGAAACTTTCTGTCGCTGTTGAGCCTTTTGTAGACCCTCCTTAGCTCGTTGTAACCCAGGATCTTGTTCCAAGGCTTCTTTGTAGTCCCGAATTGCTGTAGAAAATACAATAAGACGATGCAACAAATTCTCCAAATGTTTGTATTTCAGCTGAACATAACACTGATCAATTCTTACCATCGTCATACATTTCAGCTGCTAAATACGCTTCAGCACTATCACAAAGTATTCCTGGTTCCCGTCGTATTTTCATCGCATCCTGACAGCTCTTGATAGCTTCCTCCAATTTCGCTGTGCCTGCGTAGCACTTACAGAGTAACTGGAATGCTAAGAAACGCACGTTCAATACTGCAGGCTCGTTGTTCAGAGCTTTCCGTGCCGCATCTATGCATCCCTTGTTATCCCCAGTCTGATCAGAGGTTTCCGCATCACTCAAAAACTTTGCCACCTTCTTAACCTTTTTATAGAAAGGGAAACACTCCTTATGCTCCGGATCGAGCTTCAGACATTCACGGATCTCCCTTAAGGATTCAGAATATTCTGTTAGCTACCATCTTGGTAGACCGCGTCTTATAGTATAATGCACTTTCATGCATATTCAAAATGCAAAACTTACTTCAATGACTCGTCAACTTGTCCCAGTCGATACAATAATGAAGAAAGTTTGAAATATCCTCGAGTATTATCAGAAACTAACTTTGTTGTGGAACGTATGTCAGAAACAGCACTCACGTAATCACCAAGAGCTACATGACATTCTGCCCTGAGTTCCCTAAGCTCAGGAGCCCATGGACAGACTTCGATTATCCTAGTAATTAGTGATACAGCTTCTGCATGGTCACCTTTTCTGACAAGAAATTCTGCTTTGTGCATGTCCTCCTGCACTGGCGCTATTTTATACAAAGAATTCAACGCATCCTCGTTGTGTGGATCTATGGCCAACTGTGTGGAGTTCATAATTAGTACCAATAAAATCTTATTGCCTAATAATCTAAATAATATTAACGTACCACGTCTCTAAAATCAGTCTCAGCTTCTTCAAACTTTGCTTGCTTGAGCAACACGTTACCTCGCTGCAAACGCGCAGAGGTAAAGTCTGGCTTTAACTCAAGGACTTTATCCAAGTCGAGCAAAGCAAACTTAGCCTTCCCCAAGGCTAGATACACCGTACCCCTTTTATAATATGTCAAATAATTATTTGGATCACCCTCTAAAAATAATAATACATTAAGTATTACACGTTGCAGAATGGAGCAACCACTACATCACTACTGGATGATCCTGTCGCGGTTCCTTACCAACTGCAGCATGGTAATGTGACAATGCATCCTGGAATTGTCCCTTCGCAAGGAAGTCTCTACCCAAATCTAAGTGTCTTTCGATTTCTGTCTGTGAAACACTTGCGGCTACTAAAAGAAGGAAAAATAAGTGATCGTTAACCTTTCCTCACAGTAGTATTACTTCAACTTAGATATTTAGTTATCAAAGGTTAGGAATTTACATACCCTCCAAAGACAGATCCAACAATACCAGTAACAGACAGGAATGGTACATGACTGAAGATTAAATCGCCCGAGGATCTTCCAATTGACGTTACAATACGAAAAAACTGGGAGCACTGTTAAAACTAGCACCTATCTCACGTATATCATAAACTGGGAAGCCAACCCGCCATTGCGATCGTGGTTTCACGCTATTGGTCCAACACACTGTCCATGCTCGTACATTCCCCCCACTGACAATAATATTAGATACCAGTCTCACTTCATTCTCAATTGTCTAACAAGAAAGTGTACTAAAGTCATAGCAACAAAAATTAGTATCGGAAAAACTGCTCTCGCCAAACGAATTCAACTTGGCAAATTTACCTAGACGCTAGAGGAATCCGTTAGAATTACAGATAAAAAGTCATCGGAAAACTTTAGCTCCCGTTATCAAAAAATAAATAAAAAGCATATGGCTCATGATAAGACCACCTCATTGAGTCATATTGATTAGTGGATGATTATTAACTAGCTTGAAAGGATAATAAGGAAATGGTACAATGCAATTCTTTCTAGAATAAATCATCGGTATACATTGATATAAGATTGCGTAATCCTTTGTTTTTTGTCCACCTTTATTATACGATTTCATTTTGTAGAATTCTCCTGTCACTCTTTCACGCCAGATGTTGTGTCTCGCGTAATACTAAAAAATAAAAGGAAACTAAATCGTCTTATGAATAAGAAAAGAATCGATGCTCCTGATCGGGGACGCCTCGTCTCTTCTGATATTCAGTATATCCAGTGCAAACAGCTGAGTGATCACTGTGCCTACGTCACTCCTGAGAGACGATGATAACCGGAGAGATAAGAAGAAAATGAAAGAAACAGTATTCATATACATGTCAAGAAAAAAAAATGTAATTGAACTCTCTACCTATCCGATACTCATACTTTGTACCCTATTAGTATGCTACCGTACACACGAATCTCTAGATACGTTTTTTTTTGTTTTTACTTAATAATGGTAAATGCAATTACTCTTTTTCTCGCATGCTCCGTACCAGCAGGTCAAGTATTTTCTTCTTGTTCTCCCTCTCCCCCTCTATTTAATAAACTCACAAGTTTTCTGTCTACTTCTTCCCCTTCCTCTTTATTACACACGAATTACTTCTTCGTCCTCCATCGTTAATCATTAATATTAATATTATTATTTCATCCGATACCCGTACGACGTACAGTGATTTGTTGTAGACGTATTTTTTTTCTTTTTTTTTTCAGTACTAAATTTTCGTCACGGTTCTCGACTAATGTAGCATGTAAATGTCTGACTACTAGAGTAAAAGAGATTGACAGAATGATCAATTATTATGTTCCCCCTTCCGTCAAGTATTTCGTCTTTTCCGATTTCTCACGAGGAAATCCTTGCGCCATCCATAACTTCAATTAGGTATTTAGTGTTATTACGTTACAAATAGGGTAATGCGACCCGCGCGCCGCTCGGCGGTCAAATCGTTAAACGCGAACTTCCTTTTCCTCTCTAAATACTTCGAGAAAGATTAGAGTGAAACACAAAACATTGACAGCAAGTGAAATGCTAGTGGTACAAAATTTTACAATTTTTTCTTCCGTTAATCCATTGAACGCCGAGCAACGTCTACGGTTAATTGAAACATTCTTAATAGTAAGAAGACATTTTTTTTGCCATCCCGTCTTATACAAAATTTTTCGCCCGCTTCCAATCGTTCGTTACTTTCTTTTCCGTTCTTCCTTATTCCACGCATCCGGCGACCAGTTTTCCTTTCCTTCTTTCATTCGCACTCGCGTGTGCCAGCTTGCGTGACTCTCCCTGTATCGTGTCCAACGCGTACGCAACAAATATCAATTACATCGAAATTCATACCCTCGTTCCTGAAAGCATTCGTTACTTCAGTGGCAGAGGCGACAATCGGTGATTACAATTTTCATTCGACGAGGAACGAGAGTACGTTCCCAAATGGCACGCACGCAGTGAAATCCGAAAAAAAGCAAGTTTTTCTTTTCAAAATCGAAAAGCACAGTGCGTCTATAAAATAACGAGAGACAGTATGCGCACAGATGATGCACTCTATGATTCGGTATTACCATTACTCGCTTATTTATCGTTCACTAATCTGCTTCATTTTTGTTCATGCGACATGTGTGAATGCACGTGTAGGTATTAATGTATATCGTATCCATGCAATTTTGTATTCTCTTAGTAATGATTGCAGTCACAGTCAACATCGTCCTTCTCCATATATATATATTTATAACGTGATAATATTCATAGCCCACCCCCTACCCACCCACGTTCGTCCCCCCCTCCCTCCATTAAATTCCCAGCCAAATTCAAGACACAAATTGTATCAGTCCCATCCCCAATTATTTGTTCACCTCTCTCATCGATTTCTTCCCATCCCCATTAATTACCAAACTCTAAGTTTTATTTAATTCTTACATTTCGTTTCGTCAGTGATTTTTATATTCATTGTCGTTCATTTATTTATTTCTTTGTTTCATTTTGTCCAAGGCTGCTCGTCCGATAAACCTCAGAGGACCAAACATCCACGTAAATAGGTACTCTCTCTCAAGAGGGGTAGTACAACGAAAAAGTTTACGGAAGGAAAAATGAGACAAACAAATTATTACAAGTTTCGAGTATCGCTATCGTCGTCATTCGGACAAGAAGAACAAAAACGACGTCTCCCAATAGAGAGAGAGAGAGAGCGCGCGAGAGAGAGAGAGAAAAGAGAAAAAAAATTAATAAATAACTAAATAGAGGTTTGTCAATAAATATAATCGTTTTAATTAGATTACCATTCGTTTCCTATTCTCACCACGCATAAGACATATTCCCAGGAATCCTAAATCATAATACAAAACGCGTACATAATTCAGTCGCAGGTTTTTTCTAGTGGGGGGAAAAGAAAAGAAAAAAAAAACTCCTTTGTCTAATTGCGATTCGGTGGACAGCTGGCAGTTTTTGACAATTTCCACCCCCTCACTACTTGAGCCACTAAAAACTTCACTCACTCGAACCACCATTACAGCCAAATTGAACTAAGCCCTTTAAGTGACACTCCCCCCTCTCGCCCCGCCAAGGAGGAGGTAGAGGAAAAATCTAATAGATGATTGATGATCATTGCATTGCCAAATCGAATTGGATGATTAGAATATATATATATATTGTAGAATGAAATTCTTTTTTTTAACCTTTACAAGAGACCAAATGAAATTGAGTAGACTAAATTATCGTAAGAAATATATCGATGCGCTCGCCTCTTATATCTTTGAACAATTAATAACGCACAATTAACCGTCTCCTCGACGTGAGATTAATTTAATCGCTCGATGATCGGACATCGCGAAACTTAAATCTATCGCTGCTACGTCACGGCAGACGAATGAGAATACAGAGTACGATATATGAACGGTTAGTCGTTTTCGATAGTATTTAATTCGAGGATAGTACGAATAAGACTTGTTCACGTACCGACGGAGTCGATTCGTATCAGGAGCAAACTGTCCACCTAATTTTCATTACGTACCCGAAATGGCTTTAAGGTGAATCCAAATGAAAAAGCCGTTTACAATGTATATGGGTATCGCGTCGAAAGATTGCTTTTCCTTCTTCTCGTCGTTTTGTACACTCGCGTCCAAAATAGATGGCTCGACAGGCGGATCGAAATTATTGAAAAGATTAAATGTCAGACTCGACGGCAAAAGTGCCGAAGCGATATATCGCTGCCGGAAAATTTTTCAAATACTTTTTAATCAATCTATGACGCAGACAAGAAAAATTGGTGCTACGGGAAAATTTTCGAAAATTTTCCAATCGTTCACAATAGTTCTGAGAAATAGATCGGCGAGGATAAAACGAGTGACGCAGTTGTGAACGCGGCATAAATTCGAAATTGTATGCTCTCGATGTACGAAAGTAAAGAAGGTAGTCGGATCGTAAAGGCAATTACGAAAGAGAATGATCGATAGCGCGATTTCGCGTACATTTAAATAATGCTGGAAAGTCTATGAACCGCGCATAAGCTTGGCGCTTCCTCTCGTCGTTGAACGGCCGAGAAGAAATGTGATGAAAAAAAGAAAAAAAAAAAAAAAAAAATATCAATTTTCAATAATCGTCGCGTTAAAATTTTTAAAGCCGCAAAACTTACGAGACGGCCAAGGAAGTCAACAATATTAATCGTTATTAATGCTACCTGAAAGTTACTAGTTTCAAATAATTATTCGTTCCTCTGTCCTAAAGAGGCATTCACACACCTTGGTCCACGGTCACACGGCATACGACGCACCACGCACGCGATTGCACTATTAATCTATTAATATAACAGGTATTAGGTTTTATGACATGTCTAAAGAGTCCTGTCAATGTCGTCACGCAAATCGAATTTGTACTTTATCTCGCAATTAGATTAGGTAAGAATCCTGACGCCTCCGCACAAAAAGGATACCCATCAATATTTTCCTAGTCCCATTTATTTTCCTTTTCCTCGAGTCCACGACGCATTGAACGACGCCAATGAAATAATCTTCAAAAGCTACGGACGAACCAATGAAACGGCCATAACACGAGAGCCCCGGGGATTCCCCGGATTTCATCAACCGTCGTTAAATACGAGCGCAGCCACGTTCTCGTACCCGCGTTTTTTTTTCACTTCCTTTAATTTTTTCCACATCGTTTTCATTTCATTCCCCTCTTTAAGTAGAAACAATGCTCCCAAAAAAGAAAAAAAACCGTCTTTTCAGGAGCGCAAGAGCTTTAGCGTTCAGCCCTCCCCGATCGGACAACAGCCAACTTTGTTCTTGTTCTCTGTTATATTGTAACGACTTAATATCCCCCATCGTTTTAGCTCGGTGTCGAGCGAGCTAAAAAAATCTTACCCGACATTCAATATCGATAAATTAATTAATTAATTTAATATTTTGTATCTTGTTAATCGTTCATTTATCAATTCGCGTGGAAATTGAATGTCCCAAGATCGTTCGATATCACAGTCGTTTTTCATTTTTTTTTTTCTTCATCATCTTTAATTACTTTAAATGTTATGTATTTATGAATATTACTTAATATGTTTATTTATAATATATATATATATATGTCTATATATATATATAGCGTAGCGTACTGATAAATACAGTTATAAAATATTATATGAATGCACCCCTTCATCCTCTCTATGCCTCCCCAGCCAAGGGCTCGCATCTTTAACAACTTGAGCCGCTATTAATCGGCGAGTACTTCCTGCCTGACGGAGCAACGGTGACGGCGGCGGTGACGGTGAGGCGTCATTCTGTTTGCTTGTTACCTATTTCCCTCTGCTTCCCACCTCCCCGCCACAATTCACCCTCAGCACGTACTACCTTTAACCCTCTTATCTCCCCTGTAACTGCAACCGTATCTTCATTTAATTTCTTGCTTCGGCTAACCTTCATTTATTTCATTTATCTCGTTATTTTGGTATTACACTCTCTTCAGTCGCGTGTCTCGTCGTTCACGGTTAGTATTTTCTTTTTTTTTTTTTTTTTTAACGTCGCCTATAATTTTCTTGTTCGATTCGTGTCGGTTTTCTCTTTTTTTTCCCTCTTTATCAATATCTTCCCACTTCGCTATGCGGAATCAACGTCTTCGAGTTACTATTTAGAACCGTTACTCGTCGATGTACAACGTAAACGACTCTCGCCACCGGATGCGCATCGCGCAAGCTTTCAGAGTTTATCGTGTACTCGAGATTTGAAAAAAAAAACCGACGTCCTTAAATCCCAATTTTCGTTCATAGTTTACACAGTCTCCCCTCCATTCCGTCTGTCGAACGCGTTGGCGTGTCCTCGTTTACGGCGGCACGAGAAATTTCTAAAGGTACCTAAAAGACGCATTCCTTAAGAAAAAATTAACCCCCCCTCCCTACCCACCCCATACATTATCTAAATTAGAGCAGCTATAGCGGCCGTAGCCGGTCACGCTGCGTAAAAGTGTCTCTTAGCTAATTTCAGGTAGACCGTGACGTTACCTGCGCAACGACAATTTGTTCTCTTCGGGACGGCAAAGCAACAGAATACCATTCGTCGTTGGGTAATGCGATTATACAAAAAAAAAAGTATATATATATATATATGTATAGAAAGGAGAAAAACGAAAGGGAAAGAAAACAAAAAAAAATATTACAAGACAGACAAATGGAGAAAGCAACAACGAATGAGACGATTGAAGGAGAGAAGAAGAATAATCGAAAAACTAGTTATGCGATGTACATCGCGCGGATTCTCAATTATCAATCCGATACCATCGATCGTTATGACGGCCCCTTCAGCCTCTTAAGGGATCTTATATCGTGCCTTCATTTACTTTCTTTTTTCTTCTTCCTTACGTTTCTCTAAATTATACACTCCTTTCTCTGTCTTCGTTTGTTTTTCATTCTCTTGTTTTCTTTTATTACTATTTCGATTTTCTCTCCCACTACGCGTATCTGTCGCGCGACTGTCGAAAGAGGACGGCGCCCCCCCAACGGAGACGTCGCACCGACTGCGCATGCGCCACACTCGACGGCGACAAAGGACACTCGCAGAATTTTCACGCCAGTAAATTGAATCACAATAAATCCACAACGTGGCCGCGTAATCCCGACAGATCTTTAAAAAAGAAATTGTTTCGCCACACTCCTTCCACCTACAATTGAGTGTGTTGCGGTGTCTGTATACAGTGTTAGAGTGGCGCTAGTGTTCCCACGTGTGTAAAGTTATCTCGCATACCTAGCTGTTATTTCGCGTTAATGGCAATAACGATTGTTCAATTTCATTTGCGCGTTATTTAGTCTACAACGTGTTCGCGCACGTCCACCTCAACGTAAACGCCACGAGAAATCTACCAAACCGACAGACGGGTAGCACGAATTAAAAGAAAGAAAAAAAAAAATCAGCCAACACACGGCCAATCGCTCGCCAAATAATTTCGTTTGACTTAACGCACCGACACACCTCGCGTAAATCGCCAAACAATTTAAATCACCCGTCGTAAGCGTCGTCGCGCGTACGAATTAACGTATTGACATGGGAATCATGAGTCTAACGTCTCTTCGTCTTTAATTGAAAAGAAACTGGAGTGCAGAGTTGATGGGCGGCGCGTCATCTGTAAGTTTGCAGTACTGTCCCGTCCCGTGGCGTAAACGTGGTTATACTCCGTGTGTCTTTGGCATTCGAGCATGCACGTGTCAAGTAAAAACACGTCAGTGTGACAATGTGACGTCAGACGCAAGTAGAGTATACCGTATTTCGTGTTCTGTATGTGCGCGCGCGTTTTTCTGTGGATGTGGATGTGTGGAATCGTACGTGTCTCTTACATATAATTGAATTTGCGTGTAGAGTAGTAGTAATAATGGTAGTAATAGTGGCGATGGAGTTCATGTTAATGATCTACTTGTCCCATCCTCCCCACCAGTCGGGGCCGTTGCTGCTGCCGTTGTTGGAGGAATTGTTGTACGACGAATTGTTATAGTTGCCTCCGTAACCACCCCCGTAGCCACCTGAAGCAAAACACAGCCAGATATACGATCTGTACCCAGTGGTGAGCAACCTCGAGTAATCGAGGCAGTGCACGACGCGTGTAAACAGGCCGGAGGAGGATCTGTAAGAAACGAAGGGGAAAAGAGAGCTGCGACGAAGACTCACCACCGTAGCTACCGGGTCTTCCGGATGAGCCGTTGTTACGTGCTGAGCCAGCGCTGGCCTGCTGACGATAATCTCTCGCACCGAAGCCGCCGCTGAAGCGACCACCCTTGGTGGTTCCGGAACGTCTACCGCCTCCGTTGTGTCTTGCATCTGCGAACATATTGTCGAGCCAAGTTGGCAGCTCCTGGTTAGCCTCGACCAGCAAGGAGACCAAATCACGTACTAGACCGTGATTCTTGTTATTGAAGAACGACGTTGCCAGACCTGGAGAATGTCAGAAAACGAATTTTTAGGTGAGTCACGAAGAGGTAATGGCTATTTATGTCTGTATATGTATTTATTTTAAATCGGTACTAACCTAGATTTCCCATACGACCGGTACGACCTATACGATGAACGTATTCCTCGACATCGCCGGGTAAATCGAAATTGATAACGTGCTTCACGTGGGGAATATCGAGACCACGAGCGGCGACAGCTGTTGCGACGAGAATCGGCGCCTTTCCGGCACGGAAACGACGCAACGCGTCCTCGCGCTCGCGCTGGCTTCTGTCGCCGTGGATACTTGTCACCGGATAATTCATCTGATGGAGGAACTCCTCGAGCATGTCAGCGCCCTTTTTCGTCTCCACGAATACGAGCGTCAATGACTCTGCCGATACGCCATCTTCTCCCACTTTATTGTGAACAAATAAAAGTATTTTTCTCACGTGACGATCGAGTGAAATTGAAGAAACGAGCAGGTGGCTACCACGAGGGAGATAATATGCGAGCTCGGCAAATGATCGAATGAGTTCGAAGAGGTTACGTGAACTTAGCGTTTGCCAATGGGAAGAAGATATAAAAGCTAATACTTACAGGATTCCCTGAAATCGCTTGCTTGCAGTAGATCGAGCAGGTAGGAACGCTTATCGTGTTCCTCGACCCACACGATCTTCTGTGTAATATTCTCAGACGTGGAGCCGACGCGACCAACAGCAAGGAATATGTAATTGCTCAGGAAGTCGCGTGCCAGAATCTGGATCTCCTTCGGGAAGGTAGCTGAGAACATGAGAGTTTGACGTTCTCCTGTTGGGGGCATCGTATCCTCTTCGACGATGCGTCTGATTTGTGGTTCGAAACCCATGTCCAACATCCGGTCGGCCTCATCAAGCACAAGATACCTAAAGGAAGTGAGGTCACGTTAGTTTATTGCCCGTAGCTTTAAACGAATAAATGTCAGATATTACAATCGATAACTTACCGGCAATTATGTAAACCGATCTTGCCGCGGCTGAGCATGTCTACCAGACGACCTGGAGTGGCGACCAGCAAATGGCAGCCACGATCCAATTCGCGCATCTGATCGACGATATTAGCACCGCCGTAGACGACGGCTGGTCGCATACGGGATCTGTAGGCGAACTTGCGCGCCTCGTCGTAGATTTGAGTGGCCAATTCTCTAGTGGGAGCCAGGACGAGTCCCAGGGGATACTGCTTGCGCCTCCCTGAGGCGCCAGCCTGGGGCGGTGGGGCACGAGGTCCACACTCGTAAATCTGATTCAAAATTGGCACTAGGAAGGCCGCAGTTTTACCGGAGCCCGTCTGAGCGCAGGCCATCACGTCACGGTGTCCCATGATGATCGGAATCGCGTACTTCTGGACCGGAGTAGGCTTGTCATAACCTGCCAAGGTGATACTGTTCTGTACTATCTCGGTCAGCTTAACCTCGTCGAAGGATGTGATATGGGGTGGTATATTGTCTCCGGTAGCCTCAACTGGGATGTCCTCGTATTTGCTAAAGTTGATTCCGGTATTCCCAGTACCAAATAATTCCAACTCGAGTCTCTCGTCGCGAGAGGTGAGATTTGTCCAATCGACATCGCCTCTTCCACGTCCGCCGCCTCCTCCTCCGCCGCCACCTCCACCGCCGCCCTCCCTCTCATCCTTCCACCTGCCGCCGGAACTTCCCATTCTCTGGTCATTCCTGTTCTCGTTCCAGCGGTCGTTTCTAGGCTGTTCCTGCCAACGATCGTTACCGGAAGTAACCGGGCGATCGCGTTCCCCAGCATTGGCATACCGGTAGTCTCTACCATTTTCCTGATTACCACCGCGTCGGTTGCGGCTTCCGAAGTTGCCGAAGTCAATGTCACGGCCTCCACGAGAATCCCTGTAACCGCCGCCGCCGCCACCACCACCTCCTCCTCCTCCGCCGCCTCCTGCACCTCCACCACCACCTCCACGACCACGGTCCCTTTCCCTGTCGCGATCTCCGCCCCTATCCCTCTCCGAGAATGGTCTCGGATTGTTTGAGGAATGTTGATCACCGCCGGAAGATCCGTTACCTAAACACAAACTCTGGCCTTATTACAAGATCCAAAACGAGCGGAGACGTCATTCCTTAGGAAGAACGACGACTGTCATCCAAGACTCGTGAATTACATGTTCCGAGATGGATCATTATAATTACTTTTACAGAAATCATAAGGTGACCTACTTCTTTCTTTTTTTTTTATAATACTAATTACGCAACGACGTCTCTAAGTTACTCGATAAGACAACAAAGAAAAGCACTCGGCGAGCGTAATGAAGAACTGCATAAAAATTTATAACATCACCGAAGATACTTACTTCCAGATTTATTACGTAGATGCGGTGGTACGTAACGACCCCCACTCGGTTGGCGGGAGTCCTGCAAGTCCAGACCAGCTAACTGTAACAAGGGAAATAAAGGGTGAATTTCGTGAAAACAAAAAATCTAATAAGTACAGTGGCGCCAATATATTATTGAAAACACTGCAGGGTTCAAACGTCATGAAAGAATCCCCAGGAGAACAGCCTAAACGAAATGGCTGTCTTTAAGAAATTGCGATAATGCCATTTCTTGCAATAGCCCCCCCCCCTCCCCACTGAAGAGAAAAAAAATTGCACCATCAACAGAGACGAATAAGACTATTGCATAAAGCGGACCGTGCCATTTTGCCTAGCGTGGAATCGCAAACTCCTAATTGCACGAGTATCGAGAGACGCTACAAATTAAATCCCTGATCGAAACGCCAACATATTTCTTTCATACAATTTTATGAGAGGCCGAGAGAAGATTGCGTAAATCCCGTTTCGCGTCCGCATTTTGAAAGAGTACCCATGGTTCAGTCCCATTTTCATTTGACTATGCTCTAAAGAAAACGTGGCTACGCCAGAGACCAGTAGCCGAGGTCTGAGTACATTTCTACGATAAGTACTGCAAATGCCTCTGCAATAACATCCGCCACGACTACGATACGTGAAACGTGCTTCACGTGTCGCGAGAAGGCAGCTATGTATGACGAATAGAGAATGGCAATGCGCGAGGCGTGCTGTTCCCGGAATTAGCAGCCGCCATTACGAGAAACGTACGTACGTCACGAAATTTTCGAGCTAGGTATCGCACTAGTTGAGACGAGAATCAAGGGCACATGAATATTGGGGTCGATCCGAGGAGACATAAAAGTGATAGAGGGAATTAGACTAGAGTTCGATGTACGTAAAAGGAGAAGCGGTTGTAGATGAAAATAATAAAGGAAGTCGAAAAGGGTAAAGGAACTATGGCGGCCTGGCGGTTGTCAGAGAAATCGAATTCAGGATGTATTAAAATGGTAGTTACCTGCTGCTCTAGACCTGATCCATTCTGGTTGGCTGCATTACTCATATTACTCCGCCTCGGTGCGTAGTTTTCGTAGCTCTTTCGCAGAAACTCGCTTTTCTCGTTGTATCAGCGATAATACAATAATCCCTCGTACTTCCGTTAAAAGAATACTCGCTTCAATTGAGAAGGTTGATCGCACGCCTCGGCCGTCCGCCGCTGTTCTGACACAAAGGAAACTCGAGGACTGGCTTCGATGAGGAAGAGAGAGAAAGAGAGGCCCCTGGCCGCACTTGACGTCGTCGACGCAACAAAAATGGCCGAGAGCCGAAATATCGCCCGCAAGATGGCCTCACTATTACTTCCGGTTCGTTCCGAAATCCACTGGAGATACCCTAGTTGAGGAATAATTGTTCTACGTCTATGCCAAAGAACTTTCCTCGACTTTTCTTATTGTTTCCACCTCGATTAACGAGACCTGACTTCGACGTTACTTTAATGCGACTGAATAACGCTTTAACGCGTACGTTAACGCACTCACGCACGCCGGGAATGATTGGAAAAAACGCGCGAGAGTCACTCACTAGTCCTTTCACTGTGATTCACCAATGTATCCCTCCCACGGTCGTTTCGCCACTCGCAACGCGACACTAACGCGAGAATCGTTTGCTTCTTTTCTACAGACAACGTACGCCCTCTGGAGAATGATTTAAGAAAACGTAGCTAACGTTATTCTCCACCAGTGTTTAATGGCGCTGATATACACATTGAGTGCCGATAGTGGCGTTGATACCACTTCCGGTTTATAATCATAAACTATACAACTTCTTGAAAGAAAATTCCCTAGCACGTATAAGGTTTGGCGAACAAGAGCCAAAGACATGAAATTGTAACAGATATCTTGTCATTTGGATGAAACATTTGTTGGGCATTGGGTTTTTTTGTGTTTTTATTGTAGAATATGTACCAAGACAATTAACGTGTGGCCTAATCGTCCTTCTTGGTATCGGTCTTTCCTCCTCTGATTCTTCCGGTACGACGGGCAGCAATAAGACCAATCTTACGACCAGCGCTGGTTCCTCGCTTGACGGTAGATGCCTTACCGATATGTTGGTGGTTACCACCTCCGTGAGGATGCTCCACAGGATTCATAGCAACACCACGAACCTGAAATATAGAAGGATATATTAAAAATAGTAATTGCAGTCTCTTAAGTAAATCAATATGTTCTAAGATATATCTCAGTAAAAATCTATCCACACAACGATTCAGGTTTCAAATGTCATACCATCATTGAAATAAACAAAAGAATTTTGTTGATGATTTGTAAAAATGATATAAAAAGATATTTTACCTTAGGCCAGCAGTTCCTCTTAGCCTTATATTTGTGGTAGGCACGACCTGCCTTCAGGATGGGTTTGTCGATACGTCCACCACCAGCAACAATGCCAACCATGGCTCTGTTGTTGGATGGAATGACTTTCTTGGCACCTGAAGGAAGCTTGACTCTGGTCTTCTTACTGTCAGGGTTGTGAGCAATAACTGTAGCATAGTTTCCAGATGCACGAGCTAACCGACCCCTGTCACCAGTCTTCTCTTCCAGATTGCACACGATGGTACCCTCAGGCATTTGACCAACAGGCATAACATTGCCAATTTGAAGGTTCGCTGCAAAAAGTAAAATAGAAACATGGTTCACTATCTACTCAGAAGTGTCAATCACCAAAGTCATATGCAACAAGCAAAATTCAGAAAGAGCCTCTAGATATTTGATCTTCATAACCTCTCAGTATGTAGGTATTCTAGAAATCATCATATCAATTTTCAAACAAAAGTGACTATAATAACAGAAGACACGCTTACCCTTCTTTCCACAGTATAAGAATTGTCCAGTGTACATGCCTTCTGGAGCAATGAACAATTCCTTACGAGTCTTGAACTTGTATGGATCACGGAAGTGAACCATGGCCAGAGGTGCACCACGACCAGGGTCATGGATTATATCCTATTATAAAAAATTCAAAATGTATTAAGATCTTGTATAATTACTGTCATTCCATAGTATACACAAGGTAATTTTTCAGAAAGAGCCTCTAGTTCTTAATCTTCATATACTCTCAGAAGTAGGTATACTAGAAATCATCATTTGATACTAAACACTTTTCAATACTTCACTATTATACTTGAAAAGGTAAGTAAAACACTAAACCATGACGTAAATATGGGAATAACCTCAATCCAGATGTGTCCAACATGCTTCTTCTATACAAAGCCGTATTTGTAAAATAGGCAACAGTGAAATACAATTAAAAAATTGAAATTTAAAATAAATTAATCATACCTTCACAACACCCTTGATGTATCCATGCCTCTCTGAGAAATCCAAAGAGCGAAGCTTTGGTGCTCCCTTCCTCCTTTTAGTATGGGAGCGGAAAACTGATCCAGCTCCCTTACGCTGAGCGCGAATTACACGACCCATGGCTCAAAAACTGTAAAATAAATAACAATATCAATAAATACACAAACTTTGTATAACACTGTGACATGTCAAGATTCTCGAACTACTCCTGGAGGAACGTAACCTCGAGAGACACAGGCATGAAATTTCGATAATTCTTACAAATCATAAGAAATATGTGATTTTTTAAGAACCATAATACTCCTATAAGACCGTGAAATAATTTTGAGTATTGGATGTCTCATATTTACGATTGTTTTTCATGGATTTTACACGCAAGTAAAATAGAAGACACGTACCGAACGAGCCGATAGCAAACAGAGGAAGTTACAGGCGGAAGCAGACCGATGAAGCTTCAGTTATGTTGGCAGTACCAAAATAACTGAAAAAAATAACTAGATACGTATCTATAACAGATTCAAATTCAAAATTCAAATAATGAGAACATCGAAACCAAGCAATCGAATAGAGAATAATTAATATATGGAACAGTGTTTAAAATTTTTATTTTATTCATCCGTAAAGCCCTTTTATTCCAAAACGGACTTACAGTGAGTTAATAGTATTGTTATCTTCGCCAATTAATTGTTCGCAGAATTCATGATTAAAATATGATATTTCATACTAATTTAAAGAGATTCTTATAGAATAAAAATGTCACGGGCTTCCTGTATTATTATCTGTACCACTGCTATCTCATTCCTACTTCATATCAAATTATTTGAATTATCTGTAACACCATTTAGTCCACTATCGGCCCTCGCAATGCTACGACCGGCTTTCACATTTTTATTAGTCTTCCTCACACTAATTGTAAATTCGAAATGTTTAACTTTGCTCAAAAGGCAAAAGAGAATAGTAGGAGGAATAACAGCCGCACAGCCTCCCGAGGATGATCCTGTGGTTTTTGTGAATAAAAATAATCACGATGCTCGAGTCTACGGGATGCGCGATCCTAAGAAAGGATTTTATGTGTTTCGGGGAATTAGATTTGGCGAGCCACCAGTTGGACGTTCACGATTTCAAGTAAGTCTCTTAAATTTTTAATGAACATATTATAGACATATTAATTTGCCAATAGTAAAAACTACCACCAACCATCCTCCAAGAAGTCTTATCATGTCACATCCTGCAAGTATTATCAAATTACTCAACCTGATACAAAATTATCTTATGACACTGATGTAGCATGAATACCAAAATTTTTGGTCTATTGTATTTAAACGTAAATCTATCAGAAAGGAAGATATATTTGATTTTTATTTTATTGCATATACTATCAGAGACCAAAAGCTGCTAACTTAGAGGGAGAGTTCAATGCTACAAGATGGGCTGCTCCATGTCCTCAGCCAAATAAGGACAAAAATGGAAAAATCATTGGATCAGAAGATTGTTTGTTTTTAAATGTATTCACCCCAATGTTACCAGATTCTGGCGACGGATATCCTGTCTTAATTTGGATACATGGGGGTGGCTTCAGAAGGGGTGCTGCATGCCAATATGAAATGAGAAATCTTATTAAGAAGAAAATGGTTGTTGTATCCATTCAGTTCAGATTAGGATCATTAGGTATGTAGTAAGTGTTATCAGGAATTAATTAATCTTTTATACCCAATAAACCTTTTCTTTTAGGATTCTTGAGTACAGGCACCAAAGAATTACCAGGCAATAACGCAATGTTTGATATGACATTGGCAATAAATTGGGTCAGAAATTATATAGAGTACTTTGGTGGAAATCCAAAAAAAATTATTGCCTTTGGTCATGGTACCGGTGCCAGTTCAGCTATCATGCTTTCCTTATCTAAACTTACTAAAAGTAAGAATTTGTTATTGTTTTATATCATAACAACTGTTTATTTAAGTTACTCACTAGTATTATATATTTTCAGATTTTTTCACCGGACTGATTGCTATGTCTGGTTCGATTCTTTCCAATTTTGCAATTGACAAGGATCCAATGCGTACTGCAAAATACATAGCATCTCAACATGACTGTCCTACTGATTATATTCCAGATATGGTACAGTGTCTTCGAGAATTATCAGTAGAGCAATTGTTGCAAGTTGATTCAAAACTCGAAACTGCACGAATGGTGGCCCAAGGATTTCTTTCAGGATTGTCTACGTTATTGGGACCTGGTCCAGTTATAGAAGGCAGTGACGATGAGAGGTATAATATTGAAAATCTATTTAGTAATACCAGAATTAATAGTTTTTATTTACATTATGTGTAGGTCATTACCAAATTTTATGACAGAAACACCGGAAGTCGCTTTGAAAATGGGAAATTTCCCAGAGATTCCATTACTGACTGGAGTAATGAAGGATGAAACGGGTGGTGCTATTTTTGGCAGTTACAAGAGTGAAATTGAGAAAAAATTAAAAATTCCAAACTTCTTGAACAAAGATTTAGTTCAAAATCTTCAGAGTACTATACCGATTTTTGGAAATGTATCAAATCCCTTTTCCTTCGAAGCTTTCAGAAATTATTTTAATGTCTTTAATGGGAATCAAGGATATAATGAAATTGCAAAAGTGTCAGAGGCAGTAGGGGACGCTCTCTATAATGTTCCTGCATTTTTAACAAGTGAACATTGGAGCAAGAAAGCTAAAACATTTCTCTACAGTTTTGATCACAAAGGACAAAATAATTATGCTAAAGATTTTCTTGCTGGTCTACCTATAGTGGATGCTAAGACTTCAAAAGAGAGTACTGCTCATGGTGATGAGCTAGGATACATTTTTGGACGAAATTCCATTACCGGTCAGGAAATACCTGATGAAAATAATCTATCGGAAGACGATAAGCACGTTACAGATGTATTCACAGATATGATAGCTACTTTTGCATGGAATGGAAAACCAGTACTTTCTCACAAATCAAATAATGGTACCCAAATGTTTAGTACCATTCCACAATTTTCAGATGATAAAAATCGATTCATTAGTATCAGTTCAAAGTCTGAACTTAAAGAAAACTTCAGGTAACTCAGCAAACCTCAAACAAGTCTTAGTGATATTAAAACAGTTTCTCTTTCATGTAGATATTGCCAAATGGCTTTATGGGCCGGAATTACTAATAGACTGGGATCAGTCTATTGCAATTTATTCAATGGCACAGTAGAGTTCGCACGTAATATTGGTAATATAAAAAATATAGTTCCTAATGTTATATTAGGAACAAAGATACTTAATACCAAATCAGAGAAACAAATTGAACCAGAAGCGAGTAAAGTCATAAAAGAGACTACAAGTCAAAAAAACATACAGAACGCTGTACGAAATCTTAACTTGAGATACTTTGGTTAAGGAATTACGGAAAAGTATCGATATGAAAGTTGAGTAAGACAAATTTTAATTAATGTAAAGATTATTATTGTCATATCTATATATTAATCCATTGTCGTATCACAAAATAAACTGAGCATGTCTTCGACATTTTCTCCGTCTTTCACTTCTTCGTGTTTCTCTTTTGTTTCCTTAACTGTTTTATTTTCGGTAGACTCTATATCCACTTCTTGAGGTGAAGGTCTCCTATTTGAATCTTCTTTTTCTGTAGCAAACAACATCTCATCCATCTGTATTTCTTTTAACGTAAGATAGGAGGACACATCCGCTTTGCTAGATCTATAGTTCTGATCCTTCTCAATCTCTTCAGAGACTTTAGTTTTATCATTGGATTCTACGGAAGCAGTAGAATCGAAAGAGCCATCGTCAATTTTATCTTCTTGCTGTGCACTGGACTCATCATTGTTCATTAACAAAGCTACAGGATCACTTTTGCTAGTTACCACTGTTACATGCGACACAGTATTGTTGGATTTTTTCTGTTTAGTAGGTGTAGGGCCGCCGTTTGTTATTGAACCTTGTTTAGTTGAAAGTCCGGAATCCTTCCATGAATTATCAGTAGTCTGATTCGTGCTATTTTCATTTTGGGACTCCTTAAATTGAGTCCAAATATTTTTACGCGTACTTTTGGAAGTATTTGTTACCGACTCATTTAGTTTTTCAAGCACTGAGCTGATCTCTTCTGAATCTTTATTTTCAATATTCCCATTCCTAATAGGAAATTCCAATGCTGGTGCAATGGGATGTGCTACTTTTTCAAGTTCAGCCAATGCCAGTTTAGACTCTTGAATGATACTTAAATTAGAATCATTAAGAGCCATTTCAAAAATTTCAATGGAATATTGCGTAGGTGCTGGCGTGAAAGGATTCTGATTGATTTGAAGTGACTTCAAACTTCTAATAAGATTTAAACGACATTCAGAATTTTCTTTATAGAAATTCTGTTCCGTACTTCCCAAATAAAAATCGTACAATAATGGTACGATTACATTTTGGACGCTCTGTGAAAAGAATTGTAAAATTATAAAGGAATAATTTATTTCATATGCATATGTTTGAAATATGTGCAACTTCATTCTCACCTTGTAGAAGGACGGCTTTAGCCAACATCCTCCACTGGAAAACAGGTTTTGTAAAACAAGAAGAGCTACATTGCATAATTCGGCATTCAAGCACGGTTCTTTTGTAGTCTCCATTGCACTACCTAAATTTGTGCTATTCTCATATTGAGATTCTCGAAGCCGTTTCAAAGCTCTTTTCGACAAATTATGTGTTTTCTGAACCTGCAAATTAATCATAAGATCAATAAGGTTCTTTTTTTTCAGCAATATCTTGTGAATACACCAAGAACTCACCGTGAGCACAACACGATCTTTTTCTGGTGTAATGTCCTTCAAAATATGAGGTAGAAGTTCATCTCCCACCATCTCAATGCCTGACAAAGTCCCCAGATACATTAGCCAATTCTGTAAACTTTTGTAAACTGCGATTCTCACATTTTTGAAAGGTTTGCCTTCACTGAAAGTAGTCAAATTTTCTGGAACGCTTGCACTCCACTTTAAAGTCTGCTGATACAGCTGTAATATCGTTAGAGCAAACGGAACGAGATCTTGTCGAAATCTGTTTTTAAATAAATGAAAGAGTTATATATGATTATTATATATCAGAGTTACTATTAAACAAACAAATACCTACCCATCGATAAATGAATCGAGAACACTAAAAAGACTTATATGCAACTTTGGTAAAATAAAATGCAATATTTGCTTTCTGAAAGAGTCATCGATTCCCAAATTACAAGGTGTGACAGCTAAACCCCTGCACAGAACTTGCAAAATATCATTTGGTGATACGGAATTTTTTCCCCTGTATCCCCTAAAATAATTTGAAAAAAATTGTTATAACCATTAGGATTTCAGAATCGTACAAAAGAATGTTCTACCTATGAGGTTTACCTGAGCATTGTTGATAAATAGATGCACAGATTGAAAAATCTATGCTCTAATCCATAGTAATACTCAATTATATTGTCTTGTGATATTTCAGGAAGAACTAATTTGTCCCAAATATCTATACTTTCTAATTCAATTAAACCAGTAAATAGTCTATCCATTATTTCATGCAAGCTGTTACAGATCAGAGCCTGACTGTAGATCCAGCCAGTGTACGTAGATCTCTCCTGTGGCGGTTTAAATGTTTTCTCCGTAGCTTTAGAGAGTAACGTGTAACAATTTGCACCAGCCTTGACCAAACCATTGTTTTTTAAGTCTAATATAGGTAGTATAATCCTACGAATGGCTGTCTAAAATAACAATAAATATTTCTTTAATTATTATTACAAAACATAATGTAGGAACATTTAAGGTATACATTATCATTTATTTTTACCTGCAATTTTTCACAAGCTTCTGGATAATTATGTAGCAAAATGGCTATCAGATATAAAGTTGCCCCACACCTTCTGTCTTGTTCTAAGTTTGTAACAACTGTTATTAGTTGCTTCACATTTTGCGTAGATATTTGTTTCTGTAGTTCTGGGATTTCTTTACATTGTGTAATTAGAGATCCTAGTACTTTACAAGCTAAATTCAATTCAGCTATACTACTCTGAATGCTTTCTATGGTTTGAGTACTTTTTGTGATCCATAAAATACCATATTTCAATAATATCTGCTTAGAACATCTGGGTAGAAAACGAAACAAGATGTCTAATCCAGAATTTCTTGTACTTGCCTGATTTATCCTTGTATTAACAGTCGTTATAATGATATTCTGAATTGTGTTTACCTAGAAAGAATTGCTGTACAGTTGTTTTATTTCTAAATTTTACAACATCGTTAGAAAATAATCTTAACACACTCACAACAGGCAATTTTTCCTAAAACGTTCCTATAAAACAGGAGAATTTTAATGACAGAAACATTACTTCTGTAGATAATATATTTCATTAAAATTTTCAGGAGTTGTGCGCAAGGAGTATTAAAATTGTTTTTTAGTAAGATAATTGATGAAACTGCTTATTTTTAAAAAACGAGAATTCTCGTTTCTCGTTGGGAATGTGTTAAGATTATACCGCTAAACATGAATTTTGTCTTACCTCATCTTTATCGAAGGGGATGTCTGAGTTCGAGGACAATAATTCGCGAATAAAGTCATCGTGATCCCTTTCATTTTGATCAAGAGATCTTAATAATTCCAACGCTGTAGCCATTCTTTCTAACCTTCAGTATAACACTCCACGTGGATCTAAGTGTATAATTCAAACGCACATAAAAAAACAGATCAAAGAAACAGTAATACAAAACTTATCAACGTCATCAAAATGAATTAAATAAAAGATATTATAACTTACATTTTCATAAATGATATGAATTATTACAAAGATTCGGAAAAAAAACACGAAATAACCGGTAATCACTGAAAATTACCACGGATTCCACGCGACGACCATCGATCGGTAAAATGAAAAAGATACACAAACAATATATTTTTTACCGACAGAGAAACGTCAAAGTATTAAACTACTAAGCAGTTTCCAGGCTCACATACTAGATGGCAACACTGAAGAATGTAATAAATCGTGAAAGCGGGAATTATTTCAAGTATTCGAACCAGCATAAATAACGAGTTCTATACGCAACACGATCGCGACCTCAATCGCAAAAGGAATTATGTAATTCACACTGCATCTATCATCGACTCAGCCCATCGAGTTTCCTCCCAGTGTTGGGTTCTCAGTATAGCAACGACGTAACGAGAGGCCATTGAAATTCTTCGCGTTCGATCGACGAAGAGTGTGCACACATCCTCCTACATCAGACTTCTCTTTTAAATGCGCGCTGCCAAGCAGCGAGAAGCGCAATCAGTATTTCCGTGGGTGACACAAGCACACTTTAAAGTACATACATTAAAAAAGTATCCATTCAATATTCGACTACACATTAATATTATTACTGAAAGTCATGAAATCGATAGTCAAATTAGAGGTTTGCGTGCTGCGGCATAATGCTACTCGATTTAGTCGTATGTATATATACACGCTACAGCTACGGGTATGATTAGCATACATTGTATAATAATTATTTCTGAAACGTTCATTTGGAAAATCCCTTCAGTGATCACGCCATAAGAGTACAGTAAATTCCTCGATCATCCAAGAGAAATGCAAATCAGTTATGAATTTCCAAATCCTTGAGACAAAGAAAAAAGAGGAAGAAGCAAAATAAATGGAAGGTAGAAGTTTAAAAAGGAAAAGAGTAACAATAATCAAGTACGAAAAGACAGACAAAAACATCTTAAATTATTACACGTTTCTTGTTCATTAAATCCTATGTATCTTTCTCAGAAGACTCCAACTATATATCATTGACATCCAACAAATCGGTCTGTCTAGAAAATTCCGAAAGACTCGTCTGCCGCGATATAAAAACTGCACGAGTCGCCGAAGTGACCCACGTAGGTCGCGACTACCCTTCTTTTTTTGCTTTTTCATATTTTTCCATACCAAGTGACCGGGCGCACAGCAGTTACCGATAATTAACGACAATTATTCAACGTGCGATTATGATTACCGCTTTGGATCTTATACAGTAACGCAAGGAGAATTATAAAAAAAAAAATAATACAATACAATTCACCGCCGTTAAATATCCATTGACTCAGCGATGCAGAATGACAGTTACTTGAACGTTCCTATTTCACAGAAATAATTATTCGTACTATTCATAACGACTGCGATCTTCCCTGCAACAACGTTAAATTCATAATTAAGAGTCACCTAAATCCAAGAGAACAAAGTATTCGTCGTGTGTCAATTGAAAAGAAAGAAAAAATAAATAAAGAATCCTAAGCGCGAAGGTACTGTTGTAAAAGACGGTAGAACTAAATTCTAAAGTCTCCCTGTTGGGTCTGAACGGTACTCAGTGAAGTATCGAGAGTCCGTAGGGCCCCGTAGCAAATATTCTGAACCTAAAAGTGGGTGGTGCATCCCACATATTTTAATCGAGAAAGGTAAAGGACGTTACGAAAAATCTTCCAAGGATAAAGGGGAGCCATAAGAAGAAAGAGACAGAGGGGTCCCAGTGTCAGGTATAAGTCGAGGTATGCCCATCGAGGGGCAACAGTGGGGCCCATGGGGATCCACCTACGCCTACTTTTCGTTCTCCTCTCGGGGCATGAAGCCCTCTCCTGCACCTCCTCCCTTCTCGCACTCGTTCGGTTCAGTTCCCCTTCCAACCGGTGTCCAGTTATGTTGCTGTGGCGAATGCTGTTGGCTACGCCGCCGTCCGTGCCGAGTCCGACGCACGATTTCAGTCAGTTGCACGCATCTCCAGGTCGTTCCCGAGAGCCCTGGAGAGTTCTAGTGACATCCTGACTAGTGTCCAAGTGGGTAGTGTTAGCAGTGAACGTGAGAATATTGGGTATCTTCACGTGCAGAGACAGAACGTAGCCTCCTTACGAATTCGGTGTGCTTCCACCAGGTGATCGTGAAAACACGCCGTTTGAACAGTGAGCCGGACTTACGAATGATTTTTAATCGAGAAGGAAAATCTTGAGAGAACGACAAGTTCTTCACTTTCAAAATCAAAGATGTCTGCTATATCTGGCTAGAAAACTTTATGGGAGAGTACCAGAGAATGAGGATCACGGTGAGTCTACTTGTTGCGATGTTCTGCCACCGGGATGGCCGCACCTGCCATATTGAATCGGTATTTTCGTTTCACCTCGCGTACGGACACTCCTACTGCGCGACGAGTTCACGAAGTTCTGCGGTCCACTGAAAATGCAGCGGAAGAGAAAAAGCATGGCGTGTCTTAAAGTGACAATGTTGTATGTTAGTTTCGTGGGAATAAAACGTAACCCTAACCTTTTTTCGAAATTGATACTCTAGTGACTTTTTCGAACCTGGGGAAAAATACTCGGCTTCTTTCGCCTCGTTTATTGGTTTATTTATTATCTCTCGCAACTGACTCTCCGTTGTCAATCCACCCCTCAAGCCATTTTCTCACGTTTTCATCAATTTCATCAGAGCAGTACTTTGTAATATCGTATTTTTAGATTTCATTCCGATTATCGTTCCACATCGAGCCCAGTTGGCTCCAGGTAGCACTGTACTCGATAACGACCCACGCCCCAAGGTATAAGGCGCTATCTCTTTTCTCTCTCTCTATCTCTTCCCTTCCCTTCTCTTTCTCTGTCCCTCTCTCTCTTACTCTAGTGTATTCTTCCCGCAATAAAGTACTGTACTCTATCTGCCAGAACGATCACTGTTACTTTAAATCAAGACACCGCAATATCGAGATAGGACCATCGCGGCTCTTTAAATGGACATTATCTCAATATATACATATATATACACATACATAAAGTGCATAACACTTGTTAAAAAAAAAAAGAAAGGAAGAGCATTAAAGTCAAGGACAAAGTTTGCCGACAATCTAAAAAGGGACATTTTAGATCGTCCTCTTGGACAGATGGACATGAAAAAACGAAAATGACACCGGCAATTTCCAAGTCTGCACGTTTAACGAGACTCGCTTCTTAAAATATGTACATGGACAACGAGGTTGGACTTTCAGGTAAACAGATGAGAATTGCAGCAGATATATATCCAAACTGCAAAAACGCTAGCCATAAGTTACGAAACATAACCTAAAAAAATTTTATTCAAACCCGTTCGACGACTAACGCCGCGGTGTTTCGATCCGTCAAAAATGCCTTGTACGATACCGGAGACGCAATTTCGGAGGAAAATAAATGTTTAACAAAACGATACTGGGTTCACGGAGATTTCAATGCCGGCAACATACTCTCTGAAGATTGTGCCGGTACCGAATGACGTATCGACATTGAACAACCGTAATTTCACCCACCAGTGTAGCAACCTCCAAAGACCTCGATTCAATTCGACATCATTAGGAATCCGTCATCCTTGAAGGCATCCATACGGAAATAAATAATTTTCTTCCGCATTAAGTAATACTCGGGGCAATTTATTATGCGGATGACTTGTTTGCCTCATACTATGCCGGGGAATCATCGAATCTCGGGGTCAATTATTTCCGTTGTTACGACCTTTTATAATTAAGCGAAATATTCAGTAACTATTTTTTTTTTAATTCAAATAATTTATACCCGCACTACAGGCTACTCAGTCTGAACGATCTGAACGTAGTTTTACTGTAAGAATCGAATAGGCTAACTTCAGGGCTGAATACAGTTATCTAAGAATATATATATCTTTATCCCATAAGAAAGTACATATTAAATGCCTTCAGGCAGTGAACTGCCACTTTCATTTTCTCATTACTCGAAAACGAGGGCGAAAAATAGGAAAAATCTGAAAAATCATTACAATATGGAATAGATGTTTGCTCGAGGAAATTTCCGTGTTTATTCGGACTGACTACGGAATTTTAATATTATTTACGGTATCTGCTTTGAAAAAATTACGGAATTCATTGCTATTTGAAAACATGTATTTTAAGTGGAAAAACTTATGCACTTTATACGAAGACTTTACCTTCGATTATATTATCGTGTGTCGTAACGTAATTGCTCGATCTAACAGGTCGAGGAAAATTTTTTCCAATATTTCGAAAATCTCGTAATTTCAAATGCCTCCCGGCATCCATCTGGTCAAGCTCAAAATAGAATTACCGTCTGATCACGTAAAATCGTATACGCAGATGATTCGCTACAATGATAAATGGCAAAATTCCAGTTAAAGGCATTTCATTGATCATTTCAACGATTAATTAACATCGTTCGTATAAAGCATCGATAATGGCTGCCGTAAACAATCTTTTTATCATCATTTATAAACTTTCAATTTTTTACTCACATGTCAGTCCGTCTGCTGCTGGAGGCATTAGTAAGATAGGATTATTGATTTTGAGGTTAGGTGAGGGGTAGAATCAATGCTTTCCACCCTTCTTTAATATTTTCCATCTTTTTTTACCAACCCACCCTCTTTTACCCCTTGGATACCTTTCGACAGTTCCATTTCAAGAAAATTGTCAGAGTTGACTTTTTCCCCCCTTTTTTCCCAAAAATTCGTTAAGTCACGCAAATTTTTGTCTAAAGAGGACAAAAAGCACGTCTGGAATCAACAGTAAAAACTGGTTTTCTTAATTACAATTAAATTCATTTGATATCCGTTCGACGCGTAAACAACACTCGAATTCGTCCCAGTCGTCCCAGTCGTCCTAGGAGTTAAATATCCACGGAACAACATATATCAATTTTCCACTTCACGATTACTTTTTTTTTTCCCCTGATAAATATTTAACACTCAATTTCGACGTGACAATCTGTAAACAAATTTTTAATCAAGGACCATGCACAGATTCGATGATAAATTATTTTACCCAGCGATTCGCTCGTGGTTGAAATTATCCAAAAAGACGGAAAAATACCGAGGATATACATGACACGGAAAATCGTAGCAGGATTGCGTAAGAGCACCGACGATTGCCCGACGATAACCATCACGTGCAATTTATCATTGTTAATGGGAGGTTGCATTGTAACTCATAGGATAACGATTCCCAGGATGAAATAACACATAAACAACGAATCGTTATGTCATTTCGGTATTGGATATAATTTTCTGGTAATAAGAGTGAAACAAAAGAAAATGGAAAAATATTGACGCGATATTCGAGTTACGTTAAAAATTTTTCACTCCAAAACTCGTTTCACTCCAATAAGCTCCACCTTGACCGATGAACGATTAATATTCCATTGCCTGAAATTCCAACGAGAAATCAATTAGCCTTTCTATGCAGAAAGTTGATATCTCGTCAGGACAACGACGTTATCCTTGAAGTCAACCTTACGTAAGACTCGAAGATTCTCTCTTTCTTTTTTTTTAAATGAAATATATTGCCTGTCGTTCTGTTACCTGAGTGCAGTGAATTTTTACAGTGAGTTTGTGACGTATTAAGGAAATATTTAAAGAGCCTGGCCCATCATTAAGGTTAATCCGCCTTGGAGATAAACCTTAAAGGTATGTCTATATACATTAATGAGATTAAAGAGCCACAGAAGTATATTCGATTGAAAGAATTATGAAAAAAAAAAATAATTTTTTTTATGGGGAAATAAAAAAACGATTTTTCGAAATGTCAACAACAAAAATTATCACAACTACGAAATCCGGCATATAATTATTTCTTTGAACTTTATCGAATTCTCGAGATATGTCAATTTTTTTTTTTTTTACAAATAAAAAAACCTCATACGAAGCTCCTAAAGACTTGCGCAATTCGACCGTTTCTAATAGGATTGACGTTGCCAAAATTTTCTTGTCTCGCTTGTGTCTTTATTTATTTTTTTTTTCCTCTTTCTCTTTATCCACCTCGGCTCAATTCGATACCCGATTAGAACTTGCAAACACGAAATTCCAATGGTCGTTACGTAACATCGCCAAACGTCCAGCATTCGCAAACAGTCGAAAGGAGAAACCTGCGTTTCTCTCTGTTTGTCCTTAGTTTCCATAATTTTCGTCCCAGAAAAACCAAAGGAAAACAACAAAAAAATCCATCTCGTCGTTCACCACCGCAAGACTATTGTTACCTTTAACGGCAGTAAAGAATGACATGTTTTTCAAAGCGTTTGATATATTACCTCGTTAACCAAAAAAAAAAATTCTAAAACTGTTTTTTAAACTGGAATTTTGCATACGGCAATTTACATATCTCAATTTATTCCCGTAAATATTCAAAGGCTGGCGATCTTATGATGGCCTAAAAGCATGTAGAGGCGACAAAAATATTTAAAAAAAAAAAAAAAATTACACAATATTCATTTTCATGACAAGTGCATATATTTTCACTGATAAGTCCTCTGATCGCTCAGTATCCGGCTATGAACTTCCTTGCACATTCTTATAGCTCCTAGAAGATCTATTAACCCACTCCCCCCCCCGCCCCTCCACTCCCCCCTCCTCACATGAGGGGGATTCACCAATTTGCCTGATTGTCAGCTCGGGTCAATTTCATCAGGAAAGGTTAGCAGAGTCAGAGCTCACTTGGTTTTCTCACATATGTGACATACGTGTATCCTCCGTTACGTGTTCCACATATGTGAACTAAATATATATACAGTATATTAAAACACATACCAATGCTTGATTGTTAAATTTAAAAAAAGTCAATCGCACGTTCTTCAAAGATTTATGGATCAGATCGAACGTCACGTATGTATATTTTAGCGAAGTTAGTCTAATCGATAGGTGGATTTAAAAAAATTAATATCGGATCATCATACGACACAGATATGTCTAACGGTGACATTGATAACTCGTATAGGTTTACATATCAGCGGAAATATATAGACTTTCCACCTAAAGCCGATCCCTGAAATAGCTAATTACGTAAATCGGATCGATATATCCCATTGTCATTGGATTCCATCGCTAAAGAATAATTAATAATGGATTTCCCAGAATAGCTTGCCAGCGCGTTGAGAAACTGGTACTGATGGCTCCAGGTACCCTAGTGGATTCGATTTGCAAGCTTACTCGAACCTCTCAAGGAAATCGTAGTCTACTTCGTTGTCAGTATATGGTATACGTATAGCACGAAATTACGGTACACGAAGAGTTATAGTGCATGGGATATATTATTATCCATTATTACGAGGA